GGACTGTTTTAGTCACTTAAGTGTTGGTACATTTGTTTTCCTCTATTTCTTCTAGGTTCACAGTAGAGTTTTGTTAGGGAGATGCTGGGAGAGCACTCAAGCATGTGATGGTTGTGAGATTTAATTCCACCTGGAAAGTTCCTTTTCTGATCACCTTCATCTTTTTCCTGGCCTAATCACCCCTACTCTCTGTCTCTTTCTCCCCTCTCTGTTTACTAATGCTCTCCACAGAACAAAGAGTTCAAGACATTGTCAGAACAGTTGTCTGTGGTCACCTCCACACATGCCATGGAGGTGGGGAAGCTGAAGAAGGAGCTGGCACAGTACCAGCAGAGCCAGGGTGTGGACACCAGCCTGAGGCTGCAGGAGGAGGTGGAGAGCCTGCGGACGGAGCTGCAGAAGGCCCACTCAGAGCGCAAAGTCCTGGAGGATGCTCACACCAGGGAGAAAGATGAGCTGAGAAAGGTACACTGGAGGCCAGGGGCGTGGGGACTTGGTGGGGGACTGGCAAACACGGCGCTCCTGTCTGAGGTGGTTTCTTCTTCAAGCTGTAAAATTGCCGTAGATGTTCTTGGGTCATGTGCTCACAGATTGAGCCATCTGTCTGTTTAACAATGGGCTTGTTAGCAAGTCACCGCCAAATTAAACCTATCCACCCATTCTGAAGCCAGTCTGGAAACTACAGGTCTTCCCAGTGGGACCTGCCCCAGTAAAGCTGACAGCCTGGATCTCCCTTGGAGCAGGCCAAACCCCAAGAATAGGTGGAACTGTCTGACTTAGAAATGTCCAGGTCCTTCTCATAAACTCACTGACTGGATAGCCCTCTTCTCCCCTGGATAGAAGGGACGTATAGATTCCACCCTAGTGGCTTCAGTGCCCCCTCAGGGGCGCTTTGGAAATGTGAACCTGTCTTGGCAGGATAAATAGACTCTTCCTCTCCCTAAAAAATTGTTGCTCTGCCCTATGAGTGTTGGCCTACCTCTTAAATAAAATGAGAGCTTGGAACTGACGATTAAAAAAAAAAATCAAAGACACTACAGGAAGGGAAACAATAGGAGCAAAGGCAAAGCAAAAAAAGCACTTCCCCTGATGCCAAATATAAGCAGATTTCAAGTTAGTAATGCTCAGGAAGAGACCGGCAGAGGGGACTCATTTCAGCCTGTAGGCCCAAGTGGAATGTCCACCTCTTGCCAGGAAGAGAAAAAGTGGAAGCAAAAATTCCTCCTCCTCTAGGGTTTTCAAAACTTTATTCTGATGGGGGGCGGGGGCGGGGCTTGTCTTCCGTGCCTAGTCAGAGTTTAATATTTATCAAAGGCACTATTTTCAGTCTGAATAAATGCAGAGTAATCAGACAATGGGTTCCTACCTGAGCTTGTCCAGGAGCCTGCTCCGTATTGAGCAAGATTTATGAGACGAGGGAAGGCCCGTGTGGGAGCTGACTGCTGGTAGATGTTTAATTAATGGATTTGTTTTTTCAGGAAAGGCAGCAAATGTTATTTTGGAATGGCATCCCTGAAAACTTTGGGCTCCCCACCCCTGACGATATTAATTGGCAAGCCACATGGCCATACTGCCTGGGCCTCTGGGAGACAGGGAATTATCTCCCCATCCACAGAGCCCACGGCAGTGCCTGCAACCACATCAGCCAGATGGCATCCTTTTTTCCTACAGGTCTCCACTGTTCCGGCCTCTCCCCTGTGTAGTCCACGCCTAGGCCCTTAGCCTTCTTCTCTTTTAGTCTGAGGGATCTGTGTGTTTTGTTCATTTTAAAGCTGTCAGTGATCCCTGTGCTGGCTGCTTTGTTCAGCCACACTATTTTGAATGGCTGTGCAGTTTTGTGTCCCTGATGAAGAAAGATGGCTTCCAGGGCTGCCTTTAGCATAGAGGCAGAATCTGCTCTAAAGGTTGCTTGGTGGGACCAGAGAGAGGCCTGGCTTGGCGCAGGCTTATGGGTGAGTGAGGGAGAACAGCCACAGCCAGGTGCCTGGCTCTGAGCATGGGTCACTGCACTTGTGAGGGATGGATAGCAGGTCCCTAGGCCTGAGCACTCAGATTAGTGGGAGTTAGAGTTACATGTTGCATTATATCGTCAGTAATGGAACCACCAGCCACTAATTGGTTACCTTGGGTAGTACCGGTATAAAGGTTTTGGATTTGAGACTCTTTCCAAAAATAGAGACATCTGACTGTGAGGGAGGCCTTTCACAACGAAATGTTTTGAATGGTGCAGAGCAGAGCTGCTTTTTGCCAGCTAAGACTTGGAGTTGTACCCTCAGGGTCTCCAGGATTCATGGCTCATAAGAAGACCGATTGCTACTGGAAAGGAGACCCCAACCCATCTCTATGGAGGGACATTGTCTCACTGCAGAGGTCATAGAAGTTCATGGTACTGCATTCAGCAGATGTTTATTGGGTGTTGATTATGTGCTAGGCATTGTTCGGTACACTGGGGCAAAAGTAAACTTGGAAAAAAAAGCCCTTATTCTTATGGAGCTTAAGTTTGGGGCTAGGGGAAGAGGGTATAGACAGGAATCAAATGCAAATTATATATCATGGGCTATAAAGAAAACAAAGCAGAGTAGAGAGGATAGAGAAGAACCTGTGGTGGTGGGAGTGTGGTTTCATTTATGACAGCTAGAGAAGGGGCCCCTAGAAGACACCTAAGGTAGGTGAGGGGTGAGCCATGAGGATTTCTAGGGAACGAGTGACAAAAGTGGCAGCAGCTGCATGGGCCCTGAAGTGGAAGCAGACTGGGCTGGTGTGGGGAACAGCAAGGAAGACAGTGGGCTGAAG